TGTGTGTGTGCGTGCGTGCGTGCGTGCGTGCGTGCGTGCGTGCGTGCGTGCGTGCGTGCGTGCGTGCGTTCTTCATCCTTAATAGCATGCATATAGGAAATACTTTGCAGTATTTTCATGTACATCTCTTTCTGTCTTAGAATTGTTATGTAACTGATTGAGATACTACCAGATTCGCATGTAAGGTGTTCATTTCTATGCCTCCATAGGCTAATATCGTATCATTGTACATTTTGTTAGGTAATCAATGTCTCATTTTTCGTGTCAGTACTTCACATTGCATAATAAGTATGTTTACTAATGCGCTACACTTCAGCTTTATGTTAGATGTATGACGCCTAACTGAATCGCGTTGCAATCATATTTGATTCGTTGTGACTAGTTATTACATTTACAGTGACTATCACTATCTGTAATTCTTTCTTTTGAGTAAGAATGATTTATATCCCGCGATATATACCGTTCAGCAGTCACTGCTTGGCTTTATTGTCATATGTCTCTGTTCATGTTCTCTGTATAGCCCGTAGTGTTACTGCGCCAGCCGGTGAGCTTTGTTCAACATTTCACATATATGTAAGGGTTAGACTCGACGACCTGGGCTTGTTCCCATGTGAAATATATGCTACAATAGTTACAGTGGTTCATCTGATATGAAGTGCGTTATGTTACATCAAATAGTTAAGTTTATTAAGATTTGGTAACAATACTATGTGTACTGTGTTTTTTGACTGGCTATTTTTGTGTGAAAAGTAGCCTGCTGTTCGGGTAAAAAAAGTTCAAATAATATTAAATGCTTATGAAAAGCTAGATACAAGTGACATGGGCCTGCTTGTGACGTTTCATGGGGTTCTGCTGAATAGTGTAAGAAATATGAAGTATTTAGTATGTGATTTGATGAAGGAAATTACATTTTTTCTCCTTATTATCACCCTCACTCCCAAAATAAGAGTGCAATGACAAAACTGATTAATTGTGACAAACGTGCAATCTATCACGGAGGTACATGCAAAATTTCATGAAGATCGGCCGAATAGTTTAAGAAATAATATGGTTTCTTTACGAGTGGGTATTTGTTGTGACAGGCTAACTATCCAGCGTATCGCCCGGGCTGCCTAGTAATGTGAAGGCGGCCAGACTCGCCTGCAGTGCAACGGCTCGTGTTGTAAGGCAGCTCGGTGGGTCCTGGCGCGGTGCGCCGAGTGTTGGTAACTCGGAATGCGGGCGGTATCTCCTCGGGGATATTACGACGCATGAACGGTGCTCGTGTCGGAAGATATTTGCGTGTGATCTCGGTTCAGTTTTAGCTAGTAAGCCTTAACTCTCCGTGTATCGTGCGCTGTTCCTCGGCAGTACGTTGGGTCGCGATCCTCGTCTCCGTGGCAAATCATCGACTACACAGTAAAGTTCGTAAGTCCCCCTTCACAACTGGCGACCAGTGCTCCCATGACGAAAGGGAACGGTCGGCAAACGTCGCTCTCGTTTCCCGGGGTGCCCTGCCTTATCGTTAGGTGGGAACGTCCTCGTCGCCGGGAGTCAGAAAACGGCTCGTGGTAGACTGAGTGAGGTTGAGAATGCAACAACCGACGTTGCAGCCAGGCGACCGCTCGCCTTTGCTACCAACTGCTTGCATAAGCAATCTGATTGTCGTGAGGAAGGCAGACCCCGGCATCCGGGGTTCGTCTGCGCTCGGTACGAGAATCAATCGCCGACGTCAAAGCAGCCCGTGGCGTCACCCCCGCACTATCGTTTCGGGTCGGGCTTTTGTGAAGTAGTCGCTTTTCCACCCCGAGAACGCTCTCGGCGGAGGGGATTGTGGCAGGGATGGCTGGCCGCCTCGGTCGGGTTGAGCTTTTTACGGGACTCGCTCGTGTGTTTCGGGGCTCTCCTCGCCGGCGGTTCGGACGTCCCGGTCTGTTTGTCTGCAAAGACTAGGACCTATCTGGTTGATCCTGCCAGTAATCATATGCTTGTCTCAAAGATTAAGCCATGCATGTCTAAGTACAAACTCTAGCACAGTGAAACTGCGAATGGCTCATTAGATCAGTTATGGTTCCTTAGATGATACAATCCTACTTGGATAACTGTGGTAATTCTAGAGCTAATACATGCACTAAAGCTCCGACCCTTTCTGAGGGGAAGAGCGCGTTTATCAGTTCGAAGCCAGCCGAGCCGCAAGGCTCGTCTCTTTGGTGACTCTGGATAACTCTAGCGGATCGCACGGCCTCGAGCCGGCGACGCATCTATCAAGTGTCTGCCCTATCAGACTGTCGATGGTAAGTGCTATGCTTACCATGGTGATAACGGGTAACGGGGAATCAGGGTTCGATTCCGGAGAGGGAGCATGAGAAACGGCTACCACATCCAAGGAAGGCAGCAGGCGCGCAAATTACCCAATCTCGATACGAGGAGGTAGTGACGAAAAATAACAATACGGGACTCTTTCGAGGCCCCGTAATTGGAATGAGTGTACTCTAAACGTGTGCACGAGGATCTATTGGAGGGCAAGTCTGGTGCCAGCAGCCGCGGTAATTCCAGCTCCAATAGCGTATATTAAAGCTGTTGTGGTTAAAAAGCTCGTAGTT